GATTGTTTTCTTAAATTCATATAAAATTCCACTATAGAAGCACTGAAAGATTTTGAAAAACTTGAATGGTTCCTTTCTGTTCCCTATTCTGTCTAAATGTGAAGACAAATAACGGACTCAATCAGCTAAACCTTCGATTATAGATAGTGCCATCCAAAAAGACGCGTCACTAAAAGCTTACGCAGTCCTTGGGTTACTTTTTTGTTTTCCAATTAAGATTTTATTCATGTGCCACTCGCGATTGACGATGTCTTCAGACTTCGGATCAAACTCTTCGTACCTCGCTATTTATTAAAACATAAATTGGTTAATAGCATTAAACTGAGTGAATAGCATTAACTATTATGCACTTTTGACTTGAGTTTCAAAGTGATTGGATGATGTAGGTGGCTGGACGAATTGCGCGGTGTATGGCCTCCGGGCCGATCCCGCGCCTCGCCTACCATGAGAGGGACATCGCTGAGTTTTAGTGGGTAAACTCCTGTATTTTGTCTAGCCCCCACCGTGGGGGCGGGACCACAGGAGGAGTCCCACAGACCCCGTGAACCCCAGCGCATGGGGGTAGCCGACATGCGGAATGCATTCCTCAGCGTCAAAAAAAAAAAAAAAAAAGGTGGCTGGACGAACGAAACATCGTTGAATGGTTCGGAGAGTATGCGAGGGTCCTCTTCTGTTTCTACTCCGACCGCGTCAAAACCTGGTTCACCATCAACGAACCTATCGCCATATGTGACTTCCCTTAGTCGAGGAGTATGAATATCGCACCTAACGTAATTGATATGAAGATTGACAAATACCTGTGCAATAAATACGTTGTATTGTTAAAATACACAACCTCTGTAACTTAAATAAGTAATCTCTGTATTATAAAATTGTTTGTCAATGAGTCATTTTGAAAGAGTGTGCAAAACAAAAGGTTTCGGTATTTATTGCTTGCACGTGTTCTCTAATTACATTGTTAACGTAAAAAATATATATGTCACCTATTATTTGCTTCTTCATTTGCGATATATATTACCTACATTTGCGATAGCGATAACAGTTGAATGGTATTATTTGTTCAATGCGAACAATAAACTGATTTTTAGCTTCTGCCTAAAAACACGAGTGAACTATTCACTGAAATATTACACTTTTCCATAAATTTGAGTTGACCGAAGCTTCTTACATCATTCGTTGACTGCACAATATACAGTTAACTGATGAGGCTCATCGATATACCTGAGCAGAAAGTTAAATTTCAAAGCGCGGCAGACGTCCGCACATCAGAATCTTTCAAGTAGGTATCACACCATCGGACAATCTCGCAATACCCACGCTGCTGACCTCGCTGAGATGGAGTGAGATAGACACCTAATGCTTTGTATTTTATACCTCACGTTCATGTTCATTGTATTTTATCCCTCACGTTTATGTTCAAACGAAGATTCACCAAGCACCATCTTAGTTAAGTGGGGAATTCATTAGACGGGCATGTCCGCGTGCAAGTTTGCAGAAATTCCTGCCAGATCTCGTTACTATAGGTCTATGTTATGAATGCAACCGTTCTACACGAGCCAGACATGCCCGCTCTACACTACATAATGGGCGCGGGCATGCCCATCTAGTGAATTCTCCATTTTGGATTTTACTGTGCTTGGGTTATAGTTTGAAATCTTCTAGGGCAGGTGTCTATTGCGAATCAGTTGTTATGGTATGAACCACAATTACGTGGAGATGAAGTATTAGCCGAACTTGCGCTGCAGCTATCTATAAGTCTTGTAGAATCATTATTAATGACTTAATTACCCTCCAATCCGCATTGGGCCAGCGTGGAGGGTCATGGCCCATCCTCCTTAACCATCCATAAGGAAGGCCTGAGCCCCTGCAGTGGGGACGTAAAAGGGCTGGTGATGAATCACCTCCCATTAAGTTTTATTCTTCTAATATTATGAATCTTAATTTTTGTTCCTGAAATGAAAGAATGCCTTGAAAAAGGTCGAACCTGCAAAACTGCTAAAAGGATGAGATTCTTAAGAAGATCCTGCAGCAAGACGTAGAAATTTCTAGGCCAGGTTACGCCCTACAGAAACTCTGGCTCAGAATGAATCTAAACTGGGTTTACACCGTTCTCGATAAGTGAAGACAACTCAAGTTATATAATTTTTTTTCCTATAATTAGTCTTATGTTACTCCTTTTATTTATTTTTTATATTCTAATCGCTTTACTCTAAAGTTGGTATTTGCAGTCTTCACTGGAGATAGAGGTTTATTCACCGGCTATGAGACTCATAGCATATTACACGAGTCGGAGGGTCAATGAAAATTTATGGAGCTTAGTCAAGCACCTCGTGGAAGTATATATTACTCGTAGTACACGATTTCCTTCGAGTATGCAAGGACGGTGTGCATTTAATTAAATTTATTTTTTTAGTGTTTTTTCGTTCTGCGACAAATAAGACGCGCATGTCTGACGAAAGATACGTGGCGGCATGTCTGTCGATCCTAAGACTTTTATTGACAAACAAAGTCGCTTGAGCTCTCAGAGAGTTTGGACAGGATGCACTCGGTTACAGGAGATACTTGACGGGCGCGAAGCGTATTTAAATGCCCATCGCGACACTAATGCACTATCAAGTTGAATCTGGAGTATTCATTGATAGGGAAAATATCTTAAGCTCTCAGAGAACTCATACAGCAAGCGTTTGACCTCAGAAAAAAAAGATAACTTAGCGCATCTAAGTGCTGATCGTAACACATATGCAGTATTGTTTGAGTCTGAAACTTCCTTTGATAGAGAAATGCAGCGGCTCTTAAAGAGCTTGGACTTTGCAGTATAGAGAGCGAGAAAGTAGTTTCGATGTGTACCCCACAAGTGTACCTTTATAATTAACTGTTAACTAGTCGTGTAAATTATAACCTATATCATCCGAGTATCACGTAGCTTCCCGTAGGTGAAAGAATTTTTAAAATCGGTTTAGTGGTTTCGGAACCGATTCGATGCTAAATATCAATGAATATTTCCTCTTTAAAAAGATTAGAGGTTAGCACATTCGGTTTACGATGCGGTTGAGTAAGTAAAGTCTTTATTACACAACAAGAAAATGACACAAACATTTTTCATACATAAAATTCATAACTATGTACTAAAGACAAATTTAGTGCTTGCCAGCGATTTCTTTCAGGCAACCTAGCATGAGATGGAAAAACATAAGAAAAAATAATAGATTGCGCATACAACTAGACAGATAAACAAATAACATTTTAAAAATATCAAAATCAAAAGAAGAGCAGTTGAAACAGCGTAAGTATCACTAATACGAGTATACCTAATGTACGATAAAAATGGTCAGACACAAGAGCAGAAGGAGAAGTGAGAAAAAAATAATAGAAAAATAACTATCGTAAGAGCCGTTCATAAGGTGGATGACCAAAACATTGTGGCGACTGATACATAGCGACATCTAACTCATCGCACTAACATCGCCACATCAATCGATAGCGAGAAAACTAGCATTGTCACAGCCATCGATAGCTGTTAGTGCGATGAGTTAGATGTCGCTATGTATCAGTCACCACAACATTATTATTTTGAGCTCCTCCGTGCTTCGGAATGCAAGTTAAGCCGTTGGTCCCGGCTGCATCAGTAGTCTTTAACACCCACCAATTCGCATTGGGCCTGCGTAGTGCGTTATGGACCATTGATCCTACTCGATTCGATCCCCATTATAAGAAAGAAACAATTCTCCTGGTATACTTTCCGACGCAGACAAAGTCGCGAGTACAGCTAGTATAAGAAATATATATACATACATAAGATGAGGCAATTAAGACTGAAAGTAGAAAATAATTTAGATTTTTATTTAAGTTTTTATTTTGTGATAACTGATAACTTAATTTTTTATTTTACTCAGATAATCGCAATTCAATCTAAACAATTTCAAATATCAACTAAATAAACTATGTTAATAATACTCGATCATATTTAACATGCTACTAGAATAAATCTTTAACGCGTCCATTAACATTTTGCACCTATACGTTGATCCAAGATCGGCTTCGTCCGCGATGTTATTAAACGTACTGCGAGAATAAATCGTTCACTCGTTCGCGCCCACGCAAATATTGATGATCGTTGCGCGTTAACACGCAAAAGTTTTAACGAGTTTAAATACCAACGTTAAGCGTTAAGTACGATTAGCTTAGCGCTTAGCTAAGTATTTAATTAACATACTAGTACCTCCTACCTTGCTACTTATTTAGTATTAGAGATGGACGTTTAAACGAAAAGCACTTAATTAACCATGATTTTTTTAAATAAGTGCAAAAGCGGTTTTTCGCTTAGAAGAAAAGTATGTTTATGCTTATTGTACTTCCCGCCATCTATCAACTCATGATTTAACTACTAGCTTTAATCAATTTTTCTACTCCGGCATTTTTCTAATAGAGGGCAGCACTACACATAAATGTATTATACTATTACGCGTAATATCCATCTAGACTTTTTTGCAACATCTTTTTTGGTTCGTTAATCCAGTACGCTTTTCGTTGTTGGAGTAGGTGCACGTTGTGATGAAAGTTAATTGATTGCGTAAATTTAAAGTTACCTTTATTAAATTGATTTACAGTCCTAAATCTGTGATTAAGTACGGAGAAAAATTCATTGATTGAAATAAAGTACAAAAAAAAATTGATGTTATCAATATTTTATTTACTTACAACAATTTCGTTTTATTTGGATTTAGCTCGTTAGCTTTGAAAAAATATTTATTATTTTAATTTTATTTATTATAGTCAAAGTAAGTTAGTTTCATAAATAACTACAACACAATATTCCACAATTATTATAACAATTTCCTAACGTCAGTTGAAAAAAAGCGTAAAAAAATAGCACTTTTTAAAAACGCTTATTAAAAATCGTACAACGTAACAACGCTTAAAAATTTTAAGCCGTTTTTTCCACCTCTATTTCATATTAGTGATCTGAGTTGTAATATTATTTGTCTGTGATCTACAGACGTCACATCAGTCAACAGTGTCTTTATTTTTACATGTTTTTATAAATTCTCGTTATTCTGTCTGCTTGAGAATTGTAAAAGAATATTTTTAAATTATCCACATGTTTACAGTTAAAATAAATATTCCCAATTCAAAACACCTGTGTCAACTTCTGCCCACGTAGATTTTTACAAAGTGATAAAATTAATAACCCAGGTATATTAAGTTCAAAAATGTCTAAAATTAAGAAACTGACGGGCTCATTCCGCTATACGCAATGGGATCCGTGCTTGATAGTTTCTCAAATAGTGGCAATGCAGTCCCTTTTATATCTATCACTGTGCATTATCATTGCTATAATGCAAGATTTAACTGCTTCAACTAGGACTTTGGATCATATATTCGAATATCACGTAAGTAAAAATAAATTGGTTACTAAATATCAAGGAAAAAGTTATGAACAGAAAATACACTTACCTTGAAATATATCACAACAATGCTATACTGATAAATATATTTAATGAAAAATGCTTATAAAATCCACCCCAGGAACCCTTAGACCCTAGGCTATTATTGTTGGCTGTGAATCTCAATCACATGTAATCAAATCAAATGACTACTTCTATGATACTACTGTAAAAGTGAGAATAAGAGGATTGTTACATACTTTTTATATTTTTGCATTGACCTTTTGGATTTGGCCAGGATCCATTAAAAAGTAACACAGGTTGATTGTTTTGATCTTAGTACATTCTAAAATTTAAAGATTATTACAGTGTCAAATAATTTTCAGGAAATTCAAGTACGAGACAATGAAGGACGATCAGTCATAGTGGCATTTGTACTGAATGCAATTTTAGGAGCTTTTGCTCTGTGGACAATAGTCGGACGAACTAAGCTGTGCTTAGACTTTAGGTATATTATTATATATACATATTATGTTATTGCCGAACAAACAACAGATATAAACAAAAATAAATACAAACAAATAATTATTGTACAGTAGGCCTTATTTTTATCAGTGATTTCTTTTTCATTATTAGAATTGTATGTTCTATTGTGATATTTTTTCATTGCAGTTGCACCTTCTATGGAATTCACTTAATCATGTGTTGGATATACAATGGTATGTTTCCCACAACATTTTCTTGGTGGGTACTAAATGTGGCATGTGCGTCTATCATGTGTGTCGCAGGCGAATTCTTGTGCCTACGGACTGAATTGCAAGCGATACCATTGAGTAATATAGGAGCCAAAGTGGACTTATGAAAATTGCCAAACTCAAGACTGTATAGTTATTTAAAGTTGCTAATCTTCGGTGTAGTGTTTGAGGATTGTTTGAGAACTAAAGTTGTCATAATTATATACAGTAAAACCCAATTAGTATGATCTGCCACATATCATTGTGCAAACCAGACCTACCACTTTTATGATGACCAAACAGATAAAGTTTATAATCAGCGTTATATTAATAACCATAGAGCACACAAGGTTTTGGTCATACCTGATGGCAATCAGACACACGGATATCCTGATGGCAATCAGACACACGGATATCCTGATGGAGTGGCAGTTGAACCATTCTGATTGGCCAACATTTTCTGTGCAGATGTATTTTGTTAAGTTACATTACTTGTTGGTTTAACTGTGCTTGCATCTCTGCAATTGAGTAAAAAGCAAGTATTTAAATTGTACCAGAGATACAGATCAAAATTGTACCTAATCTTTAAATTAATAAATTATAACATAATCTGACATTACATAATCTTAGTTTGTGATTAATGTTGATTGCCTTGTATCCCAAATTATTAGAGATGCTTTAGCAAAACATTTTGTTCTTGAATAATGAATTCAATTATTATATACTGAGAATAAATTTACTGAAAGTAAACTAACTTTACAATGTCAATGAAATTTTGTTCTGTAATTTATAATATTATCAGAAAATCATGTTATTTTTATCATAAAAAGAGTAGAAAGAATATACTGGTGACTAAACAGAAAAATATTTTTCTGTCTCTCAGAGTTACCGTGATCTTCTCTCTCATTCTAACTGCTTGCCTGATCTATTTAATTATACCTCTATGATTTGAATCAATAAACTATTATTATATGGTTCTGTAGAATGGAAAAACTTGCAATAACATACACTGTGTAGCCAATTTCAACCTTTTGCAAATTCACTAAAGCTAAATTTCATCTGCTGTCAAATAATTTAACTTATTTTTCAGATTTATTTTAAAATAATAATTTAATTATTTAACATTTGTTTACATTGTAAATATCGATTATTGTTATAAAATTTAATTATTATATATTAAATATTTATGAATATTTTATAATAAATGTAAATAAAAGAAATTCATAATATGTCTTAAATGTATTTATTTCCTGTGTAATTTTTTTTGGGTAGGTATCCAAATATGCATTTCAAACCATATTTTACGCTTTCTGTAGACAATCAATTACTACCCAAGAAAAGAATATTATTCAGTGCACTTTTTTTTAATTCCATATAAAATTATAAATATAATATTTTATTAACATTTTTATGATTAGTGAACATACTTTGATATTTTGACGAAAATAGATCCGTACAGTAATCAGATATATAGGCCAAAGTTTCCGTAGTAAAGAAATAAAATGCTTTATGAAGCCCTAGATCACACTAGGCTCTTATTTACTACCGATGTAAAGTATTTCTATGATTTAAGAATCATTTATTTCGTTGTCAACCAAACAACGAAAGGTAATGTAAAAAAATATTTATTCGAAATTGAGGGTCTTCTTTTATGTCTGTTACAAATAGGCTACTAAAAATACTAATTCCACACAGCCTAAGTCACAGGTAAAATTAATAATAAGTAATGTATTTGAATCTTAATTTTGGAAATCATAGGATTATTTAAATTGTGTTAAAAATGAGGTATTTAAAATAAAATACAAATTAAGCTTACTTCATTTATTCACTTAAAATATAAATTCCATAATACTTACTATAAAAATACAAAAAAAAAATACATTTTGTTTTTTTTTTGTAAAAGAAAATTGACCATACCTATCTAACAAGAATAGTCAGGCAAAACCTGTACAAAAAAATATCCAATTTAAACTTTAAGACGTGGCCGGTTAATTAACCTGACAAATCTGTGTAAACAGATGTAAAATAAAACAATTTTTTTATACACAAATTGTACTAAATTAAGATGGAAGACCACTAACCACATTGCTGCATACACAGATGGCAGTAGAGTTTCAAAATAATATAACAATGAGAAAGTAAAAAATATCATTTTTGATTTGGACGATAAATTAGGAAAAGAAAATAGCTAATCCAAATTCGGATTTCAAAACATTAAAACAAGAAAACACATCGATATCAAATAGACTTTTTGTTTCATAAAACTTTTCCTAAAGTTTATTTTATAGGAACAATCGTTTTTACTGTCATAAATTCAAACAAATATGGCAGCTTCAAAAGGGACCATTCGTTAATAATAATATGTGACGCAAATATCATTATTTTTAACCCCCTTCATGGGTGGTAGCACTCTTCATCTATGACGTCATTTACGGATGGGCCCATAACGCCACCTCTTGATAACCCAAACGAATCAGAAAATAAAAATATCTAGATGTCGCTACGTCGTTCTTCGATCATTTGTAAAATAGTGTTTAGCATTCTGATTTTCTGTTTTTTTGTCTATTGTTAGTTATGTCTATGTTATTTGTACATGTTTTCATAAATTATTATCAAATCAAATTCCGAGTAGATCAAACAATCTTTCCTTTTTTTTATATGTCCCAACTTTTTAAAAAGGAAACTGATTCACAGACATAACATTATAGAAACGTTTAGTTTGATTAGAATGAAATATATTTATTACATTTAGAAAACTTTTCAAATTAGGCCTATTATAATGACCCAACTGTAGTAACGCCATCTAGTGACATTTATTGTATTCATTTTATTTTTCTATTTTACTTCTCATTATTATGAACGTGCTGGGAACAATGAAATGTCAGATAAGCCTACACTTTCATATTGTCTCCTGCCTTCATAACCCTTTACATCATTAAAGTATTTCAGCAGCATCGCACAAAGCACCACTGTTATTAGCAAAACAGCCATAATTACCCATACTATTGTGTAAGAACTGTGATTTTCTGGTGTGCCTAAAGCATTATTCTTTATGACAGATGAGTAGTAGAGGGCAGAACTGCGTGCCGTACGTGGACGTTGAGGATTCGAGAAATCTACTTCGTAAAGACCGAATTTGCTCCTGTCAAAAAATAAAAAGTATTTAGTGTCAGATATGCCATACATTTCATCGTAATCGGAGCCATAGACCCACTTTAGTGTGCTGTACCTAAGTCTAGACAAATAAAGAAAAGAAGAAATAAATAATAAAATTTAAAGTATCAATATAACACTGGCTGTTTTTGCCGCGAATTCGCGTAATTTATTTATGTTGTAGCTACCAGTTGGAAAGAATTTTTAAAATCAGTCCAGTAGAAGCCTATTACAATGTAAACAAACAGACCTTTACTCCTTAAATACGGTTACATTTTACAGCGAAAGCAACTTACGCACCGTTTACCACCATTTCGGACCACTTACGAGGATCCCTTTGTGGATTGGTAAGATGAGACAATTACCGCCTTGACATATGTATATGTCAACTTGTAATATCTTACAAGTAATATTCTTTTCATTATCGTTGTCATGTCAAAACATAATTTACTGTGATAACTCGCACTATGCCGCGGGTGACAGCTTCCTATATATTTAAATTCTGATATCGCAGACATTATCCTGATTTTTTTTTGATTTGGTCCAAAATGCATTCTCAAATTTACATCATCAAACACGCACAAAAGCCTTTTCGGGATTATCCGTGACGGTGGAGCTCAGATACAAACATTCCAAAGTAATTACAATATTTTATTAAAGTAAATAATTGTAGTTACACAACACTATTATACTACTCAACAATGCAACTGACAGAACATACGCCATGCAATCTTAATCAATCTTTCTTAGCAATAGATAATAACAAAAAATTCTATTATTACTAATATCAAGAAAGTATTTTTTGTAATATTTATTTTTTATAATTACACTTATTCACATGATGAAATACAGATTCATCAGTCTAACTTATAAGTATACTATAGCAATAAAAACAACTCTATCATATATTACTTACTTATAGCCTTGCGTCCATTCAAAACTATCCATCAGCGACCAAGCAGCATACCCTGTGACATCCACTTTGTCTATTCTGATTGCCAGGTACAACTAGAACAATATTTTTATTAGTTCACAAATCTGAGATAGATTTATTATTAAAAAATACCGGTCAAGTGCGAGTTGGACTAGCGCACGAAGGGTAATCATGGCCTGTACTTGCCGTATTTCGTAAGGGATAATCACGAAATAGTTTTGTTTGAAGATGACACTACACTTTTGTTTAAAATTAAAAGAGGGCTTCCTCTAAATGACGATGTGGACAATTCTATCGCTAAAGTAGTACATTGGTTTAATGTAAATAATCTTCTCCTTAATGAAGGAAAACAAAATGCCTAACATTTGTACTATCTAATGTTAAAAAAGTAGAGATAGATAAATATAAAAGATAAGAATATGGACCTTGTGGATACCACAGTATTTTTAGGAATAACATTAGATTCTAAACTACAGTGGGGCCCACATATTGATAAATTATCGAATAGACTTAGCTCTGCAGCATATGCCGTAATGAAGATACGTAGGTTAACTGACATGGATACTGCCAGATTAGTATACTTTAGTTACTTTCATAGTGTAATGTCGTACGGATTCCGTACGACTATTGTGGGGAAATGCTGCCGACATACAAACGATTTTTGTACTTCGGAAAAGAGCAATTAGATCAATTTATAATCTTAAGATTAGGGACTCTTTAAGGGAGAAATTTAAGGAAATAGGCATAATGACTATTGCTTCTCAATACATATACGAGAACTTTATGTACGTTCGTAAAAATATTAGTTTGTTTTCTATAAAAAGTGATGTACACAATATTAATACAAGAAATAAAAATAAATTAACGGTGCCTGTCACTAGACTACAAAAAGTTAATAACTCATTCAGGGGTCTTTGTGTGCGCTTCTACAATAAGGTCCCAAGTAAAATACAACAATTAGATATCATGCAGTTTAAATCTACTATTAAAAAAATACTACTAGCTAAAAAGCTTATTATAAGGTATCCGATTATATAACAGATAAGAATGAATGGACTTAAGATGATCCAGCAACTGGATAGATGATTACTTCTAAACTCATTATACATGAAAATTTTACATGTTTCCATTATTATCATGTTATCATTATAAGACCATAGTTTTTTTTTCTCTCTCTCTATTTATAGTGTATTGATCGATGTCCTGGAACGAGAGGTGGGGAAAAAAATGTTGGACGATTCAAAATAACTTTTAAGAAGTCTATTTGAATAAAGATTATTTTGACTTTGACTTTATAGTTATAGGAGGGTAAGTCTTTACCCTTGCTTTGAAATTGTGATATTAATATGCTATGAATGATGAATTAACCTAACCATGTACCTGTCTTAAGTAATCTTTGAAGAAGTTAGTTCTCATCCGGTCATTCAAATTGTATCCGTTGTCAGGGAAACCATTCTCGGTCACCAGGTATGAAATGTCGCCATAATGCTCCTTCAGCCACACCAACGAATTCCGAAAGCCATTTGGGTAAAGCTGGAATACATCCACACGTCGATTATAGGGATTGGGCAAAAGTAAGAACGCGTGCGAGGTCAAAGGCTCGAAGGACCAATTTTAACTCTATGGACATAGTAAAATAAACTTAAATTATTCTTAATGGAAAATGCTTGAACAATTCACTTCGTCCATGTAGCAGCAAAAAAGTAACAAATGCTTGAAAAATTCGTCAGTCCTGTTAGGTCCTAGGTAGCTCAGTGGTTAGAGCAGTCGCCCGGATTGCGAAAGGTCATGGGTTCGAATCCCATCTCAGAGTGCCAGAGACAAAGTGGATATTTTAAAAAATGCTTAAAATTAAGAATATTTTTCAGTATAGCATTATGGATGCAAAATTGATCAATTATATATAATAAACTAAAATTAATTATGGATCATTAATTTTCTATCTTCTATTGGAAGGTGACGTTTCAGGGACAATGAAACAATCCTATTAATATTATAAATGTGAAAGTTCCTTTGTTTGGATGTTTAGATGTTTGGATGTTTGTACGTCAATCACGCCGAAACTACTGAACAGATTGTGATGATATTTGGTATACAGATAGGGTATTAGCTGACTTAGATAAAAGGATACTTTTTATCCCACTAAACATTTCCCTAGGGTCACGCGGGCGAAGCCGCTGGCGAAAGCTAGTAACAAATAAAAATCGCAATCAGTTTCTAAGTTATTGTATTCATTTTGGGCAAAGTGCTAATAGCACTTTGCCCAGGACGTCAGCATTGGGAGGGCGCCAAAATTATTATATAATGACTACTTTCCGTTAAAAAATAAATAAATATTATTAAAATTATAGGCTACGATGAGACGGACATGGTTCAAAACCGTTATTGGATTACAAGCAAAAAAATCTTGCACTGCAAAAATCACTACATAGTATAAAACAAAGTCGCCATCTCTGTCCCTATACCCCTATGTAAGCTTAATTCTTTAAAACTACGCAACGGATTTTGATGCAGTTTTTTTTTTCATAGATTGGGTGATTCAAAAGGTTTTTAAGTATAATACAAGACCACGCGGACGAACCCACTGACGGAAAGCTAGTATAGTATAATATAGAAATCCGGTCTCATGGAGCGTAGGGCGGGCGGTAGAGGAACGGCGCCATACGAGTTTCTGCCCCCATTAATAAAATTCGAAAATCCAATCCTATATATTAGCCATCATCCAAAAAAACGTAGTTAAAATCATATTAGCGTATTATTTTTTCTATCGAGCCAATTTTATTTTAATTTATGTCACTGTTTTTCATAAAAAATCGATCATATGTAAAATTTTCATACAATTATTTTTATTTTGCAAATATTAGTATAGCCATAGAATAAAATTCGTTTAAAAAATAGTAATTTCATACAACCTCACCTTAAGTCCAATCCAACTAACCTTTATCCATGGTATAGAGGTGGTAGTCCAATCGGATCTAGAGTCTAGTACTGCCTGCAACTCCCGGCAGCCCCAAAGCGGCCACGAGCCGACCTCTTCCCCGGGCACAGCTCGACGCACAACACGACTAGTGTAATGATTTACACCGTAAAAATCGAATGTTCCTACACAACCATAATGCAAGATTCATCCCTTGTTTAATAATAACATTTACAATAGAAAAACATTACAAATTTGAAATCTGAGCAATGTGATGTCTATTTATTTATATTCAAACCTCTCATGTGCCCGAGATGGAATTTGAACCTACATTAAACCAACTGGGCGAGTGCTAAGAGTATCCAGATTGCAGATTACACAACTAGTAGGTACATCACAAGTACATAACACTAGGGTATTTGATACTTTTCTGAAAACTTCTATAAATGGTTGTTTGATATATTTTAAACACACTGTCAATGTACTTCATGGCAATATCTTTTATTATGCAGAAAATAATTGTATAACTTTAAAAGGCCAAAAAAACGCTGATCTATGTAATAGCACTGATCACGTGGTATTTGTGACGTCACACGCCAGTAAATATGTCAAGGTGATATAACCTATTTATCAACTATTTATTTAACAAATAGTATTACAGAAAAGAAATGGAAGTTAAATTTCATGTTTTGTATTTCTATCTACTCTGACATTGTTTATAACAATGAGCTACAAATTGTATGTACGAATACAAGTTTATCGTATCTCTGATAACACAGTTTCGACATGATAGCTTCCTATTTACGTATGACGTCACATGCCGGTAAACAGAACCTGTTATTGGTTGCTACTACAACCAATTACAGGGCGTTTTCGTCGTTCATTAAATTCCAAAAAATTTTGCATTTTTCTTTAGATTATTTTGCTAAAGTTAAACATATTTTATCTGCAGATTCTAAGAAATAATCTGTATTACATTATTACCTAACACGATGACCTTAATAGGGTAATTGGCAAATACCCTACCTAATAGTGTGTTTGCTACTATAACCGTGAGTACTATAGGAATTTAATATTTTTTTTGAATTTATAGTTAGATAGAGTCCAATAATATACTAATAGATCCAATAATATACCATTGCTGCACGTTTGAATGTAAGAAGGTAGGGAATCATTCATTTCCAAAAAAATATAAAATGTTCGAAAAAGTTTGTTTGTTTACTGCATGTGATAAAGCATCTATGCCGAGCTTTGCGTCATATATATTGAAAACATTTTCATTTAAATTGAAAGTGAGAACATTTGTTAATACCTATATTTCTTTTGGCTGTCAGGGTAGATTTCAATCACTGGTAGCAAACCTAGTATAATCGGTAGATCAGTCGCTACGTTAACGAAAACAACCCTAAAATCTCTAGCGATGTCTGTAGCCGTAGAATACGATTTTATGGCATCTATCACGGTTTTTTGATGGACAAACGACTAACACTATTTTCAAATTCATAATCATCATTCCTAATCACTTATCTTTATTAAATTACTTATTTACAACTCAAAGTAGTAAAATGTAACCAAATAACGCTATGACATGTCGTATCCTATAGCTGGAGAGTTAGGTGGTCGCACCCTAGATAATACTCCTGTCAGAGCATTTGAGATAGTTAAAATGTAAATTTATTTCTATAAAGCATTAAGAATATTAGTTCTATATATAAGGGAAATGAAATGACCAGTTACAATACAAATTAAATGAATAAAAAGTATAAAATAAACGCCAATATACAAATAAATTATTTGAAAATAAGACTGTGTGAAAGGTAATAATGTGTAAGACGTGAATATTGGGATGACGATTGAATGAATTATGGAAGAAGAATAAAGAATCGGGGCAAGGATAAGTCAATAATTATAGGTATAATAAATAAATAAACAAATTTAAAAGAAGAAAATGGGCCTAATAAATATTTTATACAAACCTCTAATTAATTCGATTTCTTCTCTAGTAAAAGCGGGCAGCCTGGATTTCGTGTGCCCCTCCTTCTTGCTGTTCTCTGCTATGACCTTCTCCAAAGATGGTGGCCATCCCCCTTCCCTTGTGTAAATTGGGTGGGAGAACCTACCTACCTGATGAAAGTAATCTATTCAAGTACGCCGTAAAGACAAAAAATAGGTATATAAAATGTAATCCTCCGGCTCGAAGGTCAACGTGAAAGTATTGAAAACAAGTAAACTATTAAAATACTGTCAATTCTTGACCGGAAACAATGATATCAAAAAGGACCAGACAATAATTTCTGTTCCTTTACGAATAACAAAATACTCGTAACTGTATGCTGTTAAAAAAAATCCTCTTCGAAACTTATATATTAAAAGAAACGTAAGATTTAAAAATAGAAGATGGCTTATTTGATTATTATCGTAACTCAATTTACTGTTATTATATAAATCCGAATGTAAATCATAAATACCTTGATACATTACAAATGTTTCAATACATAGCGACATCAAGTTTTATTGCGAGAATTACTTTTTTTGTTAAATACTTCTACAATGAAAAGCATTATGATAATAATAGTTGGATTTCATATAGATAATAAAACAAATACGGATGCCCGGTAAATGTAATGCAGTTATAAAAAGAAGGAAGATCAAGGTACCCTATCAATTTCTCTATACTTGCACATGAATACTAATACGAAAGTACCTATATAACCAACGCATTACGAAAGCATGTACAAATTATGTAAGGGTTTATTTCTCTTGCGTTAAATATTAAAGTAGCTAGAATAGAAGAGTATCTTACACTATTCTGCATTAACAGGTCAGCCAAGCCTGAGTCTCCTTTTTTATCCTCTTCAAACCATATTACTTGATTCGCTATTGATATTTGCCCTGAAATCGAATACTACTTTTAAATAAATACATTTACATGGGGCTACTACACGTCCGGATTTGTCCTAATTTGGAAACCGTCCGGAGAGCGACCGGATGGATTTATAAAAAGCGTCCGGGACCAAGCAAATCAATATTTAAAATAATTAAATGATATGAATAGTATTGTACTTGGGTATTTTTTTGGGAGAGTTATTGATTATTAAGCAGTAAGTTTCACATATCAAGTCACGTCGGAAAGATAATTTATTTTAGTATATTGTTTGTCACGGCAGTTTAAAGTCGATGTTGTAAAATACTTCGAAGACCTACTACGAAGAGAGTTCTTGATTTAATCCACATGTATTAACTAGACCATGCTTAGGTAATTGATATAAAATACATCCGTGAGACTTTCGGAGTACTGTTTATAATATTACATAAGTAATATTATATTATTTATTAGTATTATTATAAACAGCAAAATTTAATAAAATTTTCCAAGTCTGGAAAGTGATCGATAAAGACCCCTTCGGGTCAAAATCGCAAAGGGTCGAGAGAGAGAACGAAAATTAATTTGCATTAATAATTTAGCGGTCTCAGATGTTACTTCACATTGGAAAGGGGAATTTAGCTCAAAATTATTTTGGAATCCCTGTTTTCTTTTTATTACAAAAGCATTTCATATTATTACAAAAGAATGGCATATTTCTATTTATTCACATACCATGATATTTTGGCCTGAACTCTCTGTCGTAAAGCCTCCATGCTTTCGCATGAGCCAACAGTATATTCTTGCTGCATAAGTACGAGCCTATAGTTGGGCTACGTATCGCTGGCGCGATCAGCCCGTCGTAGCCTAGATCGCAGGTGATCATGGGATCGTTGATTGTGATCCAAGTCTTCACCCGGTCTGCGTATAGTGAGAACGCTACTCGGGCATACGCAGCGAACCACTCTGATATTAGAGGATTGGCCCAACCACCTGATGAGCATTTAAACACATGTTTAATTAAATTTGCCCTTTAAAGAAGAAAGATTGGATCCTTGATAATAATAAACCATACTTTTTTTTTGATTTTCACCTGGTTTTCACATGTTTTGTAAATCTTTAATAAATACATAAAAAAGGCAAAAATTGCAATGGCAAAAAAGTGATATAAAACGCGATCTATTCGTAATATTTGTATTCAACTACCCACTAGGACACGTATACCTTTGGCCGGCACTTTGAAAAACTATAAAAGAAAACTGTTCAACTCACCAAAATGCTGTAACCTAAGCGGCAGATCCATGTGATACAGAGTGATGACTGGTTCTATACCATTACTCAACAGGGCGTCCACCAAATCACTATAATATTTTTTGCCATCGACACTTACTTCATTGGCCAACCCTTGTGGCAGAAGACGAGACCATGATATGGAGAATCTGCAAACGATATAAAAACTGATGCAGTTTTGTGGTAAATTAGTAAGAGACCTGGCTATTAATTATCAGTCAAAAGATTTTAGTTCTACAATTATTAATTCTAAATTAGGTTATCATTAACCCTCTTACGTCCCCGATGCCTCCACGCTGGGCCAATGCGGATTGGCGAATATCGATGACTACAAATACAACCGGGACCAGCGGCTTAACGTGCCTTCCGAAACACGGAGTAGCTCGAAATAATATTTTTTTGGTCATCCCGTGCGAAAGTTGCTTGACAACAACGATCGCAGACTGCGGCACTTATTCACTACGCCACCAAGCTACTCGATTTTGAAATTAAATACACTGTCATTAAATTATCTTCCAAATACTTCCGGTACTTCTAAATTAACTATACGGCAGTACATTGCAATGTTTTATTTGTTCTCTTAAGTTACTATCGCCTAATAAGTATATCGTTTTAAAAACCCAACTAGTCAGTTACTGTGAGTATTATTGTAATCGTCTTAATTACAATTCTCAACGGACTAATCAGCAGACGGATAATAAACGGACTAAGGGCGGAAGAATGTTATTTAATGAGGGCCTTATTGGGCGACAGTACCAGTAATTTTAAAATGTTCTCTTACTTATAATATATAAAATGCTTAGTAATATTTAACCTGTAAAAGTTTAATCCAAGTTCCTTAGCTATTTGGACGTCCCGCCGCCACTGGTTGAATGAATCGCATGCAACGTCGCCATTGCTTTTATCGGCAACGACGTTACGTGCTGAATGTGTGTAGTCGTCCCATATATTGACAGATTTACCTATTGGAAATATCAATGCATATTCATACACATTCTTTATATATAGGCTATATTTGCCCTACAGTACCTAAGCAATGAGATCTATGATTAAATTCAAAGTGTATGGTTACTATCTGTAAAAACTTTAAACCTGGAATTTTGGGTCCAAATTTTGACATATTACACCTGTCATAACAATCTAAATATGTTGACACCGGACACTAAACAAAGCCCAATCCGAAAATTAGCCGGCCGCCTACCGTAGTTGGATAAATCCGAAGTAACTCGGACAGATAACAGCCCTATCAATGTCAATTTAGTCGGTTAAAATGATAACTTTCGCTGCAGACGCTAAAGGAAACTCATTGAGATATTACGAAAATCCTTATCCGTTAGATAACTTTACCAAAAAGACAGATGTAGCAGCGATCATATGTAAGAATAATAATACAATAGGTAAAGCCTCTGTGGTCCTAGATTTGTATCGGTTCCCGGGCGGTATAGTGCGTAACGCATTTTTCTGGGGCAAAAAATGGTTTGCATTAATTCAAAACAACTTACCGCTGACATTCCAAGCACCTTCGATTTGGTATGCTGACGTTGAAGCTCCAAATTTGAAATTCGGCGGGAACTTTTGAAACACTCCTTCCGAAGCCACAAACAAGACACTATAGAACACAAAATAATAAATAACAAAAAACAGTACAAAATCTATATCTAAAATGAGACGTCAGTCATTATTACTGAACCGTTACGGAATCAATTCCCGAGAATGAAAAAATTTAAAGTAAATTAGTTTTCAAAACTCTATTTGTACTTTTTCGTATTTGTATTGATATCTAAGTTTCGAACTTTAAAAATTTCAGTTTTTTGATATGTTAGTTAAGAGGTTCGCAAGCAATTTTTTATCAAAGACCATTTTAAAAAAATTACTGGTTTCGGTGGACCCCCCGCTACTACATTTTTACCATATAACCAAAATTCGTCCAAAATGTGAAGATCTAACGATGGAAATTGGCGTCGCGGATGAGTTCCAACCCTAAATTTATGCTAACGTAGACCGTAGCCAACGTTGAATCCCTCGTGGAACCCTGGGGTCCACCTAGACCACTTAGGGAATCACTGTGTTAGTTAAAAGGAATGGAAATGACTGTCTTTGGTCCTTTCGTTTCTTGCAAAAATCAACTTTTGCTAGAGTCGCCATCTAGTGGAGGTGCTTTTTTAGTGCTTTCGTTTTTTCTAATACTTCCTCATTGTGCCACTCACTCTTGATTGGTTCACTACGAGGGCGGGATGATAAATAGCTAGCCTAGCATAGAAAAACTTGAATTAGTGTGTTAAAAGTATGTTTATTTTTCGACATAGTCTCCTTGAAGCGCTATGCACTTCATCCATATACGCTCTAAAGCCTTGATGCCATCCCTGAAGTGGTTTTCTTCAAGCCATTCAAAATAACTGTCCACGGCAGACATCACCTCGCTATTATTTTCAAATCTTTGTCCACCTAAAAAAAATTAAGCTTAGGAATAATTTTTTCCTAAGTTTTTTGAAAGTCAGATGGTGCCAGATCAGGAGAATAAGCTGGGTGTGGTAGCAAATCATAATTTAATTCTTTGAATTTCGCCATCGCACATGTGAACGCGCGCATTATCCTGATGAAAATTTTTTTTTTTTTAGCCAGGCCGGGTCTTTTTTCACGAATACACACTTGTAATTTATCCAGTAGATCAGCATAATATTCGCCATTTATGTTTTGTCCTTTTGGAAATCATCAATATACCCTCCGAATCCCAAAATACTGACGCCATGACTTTCCCCGCTGATTTCACGGCTTTTGCTTTCTTTGAAGCCGGGGATCCTTTTTCCGTCCATTGTTTAGACTGAATTTTTGATTCAGGTATATAGTGGTGAACCCAAGTCTCTTCTGTAGTAACAAACCGTCGCAGAAAATCAGTTGTATTGCTCTTAAAGCGGTCCAAACATTCTTGTGGAACGCGTTTTAGGTCAACTGTAAGCAATCGTGGCACCCACCTTGCAGATAATTTTTTCATACATTATTCTTGAGTCAAAATGTAATGCGCCCGTTCTTTAGAGATGCCTACAGTGTCAGCTATCTCGGAAAGTTTCAATCTTTTTAATCGCAATTTCTGGAGTAGTGGCACTTTTTGGACGTCCTGGACGATGTTCATTTTGGGTGCTAGTACGGTCACGTTTAAATTCAGCCACCCAAATTTTAATGGTCGCATATGAAAACATCCTTCCAAACATCCAAAACATCCTTCATCTCCAAAAAAATCTCTCCACCTTTTAATCCTTTTAAATGCAAAAACTTTATCACAGCTCGTAGCTTAATTTTATACATTTTGCAGAAAAAACAAAAGTATGCTTTTTGAAATGTCAATATTTAATAGAAAAACTATTTTATATCGTTATTATACAAAATATGGGTTGGGCTAGCTATTTATCATCCCGCCTACGTATCATACTCTGGCGCTAGTTTATCCAATCAAGAGTACGAAACAGCACAATGAGAAAATTATTTAAAAAATATACTTTTATACATGAATGAAAACCGGAAGGGTTCACATGGAGAAATCGAGAAGTATTGTAGCGACATCTAGTTTGATTTAAATAATTCCTCATTACAATATCGATTGATCGCGATTGCGGTTCGAGAGTAACCAGCCTCCGGTCAGCAGAGGATTGAATTTAGAACCGCGAACCCATAAATATAAAACTACTTACATAAATATCGATTTATATTTTGCCTAAGCCTTAAAGTATTAACCTCAACTGACTACAGGTTTACAAAACAAGCGGTTTGTTTATTGGTTTGAAATAAGAACATTAAAGTAAAAAAGTTTGTTAACTACTATTTTTTTTACCGGTAGCTGGAAACCAATATTGTCAATTTAATACATTTTTAAATTTTTACAGATTAGTTAATCCATGGGCCACAAAATAATATATCAACATATCACTATCGAAATAATAATCATTAATTTAATTTACAATATTTGGAAAAAATAAACAAAATTCACAACAGTGATATCTCGTAAAATTCAAACATTTCATACATAGCAACACCTTGTATAAAAATTATGAAAGAACAAACCTTATCAAAAAGACACGATTAATTGATTATTTTTTTATAACAACCACATAATATTTAATTCTTTGATTTTACTTTTGTGTAAACATAATATGTCACAATAAAACACTTCATTTATTTTTCCGTCTTCAGAAACACATGAAAATATATAATAAGACAAAAACACTTTACCTTAAAATCACTAAATTTATCAACACCATGTTAACAACTGAATTCTTCGCTACAACATATCTTATCATAAAGATATTCGAGAAATTTATAATAATATCATATGATGACCTTATTGTAGTAAAATTATATGAAAATAATACATTTATTTAACTTATCCTGTCACACGAAATTGTTTTTTTTTTTTATAGGAATATATTTAATCAATCTAATTTAATTTCAAAATCAATGATACTGTAAAAACATCATGCCTTTTTAATAATATAAACTTACGTGCATTAAAAATCGGTCAAGTGAGAGTCTATCTCATACATGTTGGATTCCGAAATACCGCACATTATTGACACTAATTCTTTGTCGTGATTCACGACAAAATAATAATAAACTTGTAGAAATCACGACTCGTTAGTACGGCCATAGTAGAGATTTTAGGGCTGCCAACATCCGGATTTCCCCGGATGGTTTATCCTAATTTGGAACGCTGTCCGGAATTAAATTTGAACGATCATCACCTATTACAGCCACACTATGTCTAATGATGAGGTAGCGATAGATAAGCTGATATAATGCGTACAGTATAACACACTTAATATCACCTTTGATCACAATCACAAATGTACCTGCAAGGCTAAATTTGATATTATAATCAATTATTATAGTGATAGTTTTTTGTACAACACAATGCAAGGGCAATTTCTAAATTATCCCTACTTGAAGACTGTATTGACCTATTTACTTTTGCTTTGAGCTACACAATTTTGTTAGTTTGCTAAGTGAATACCTACATAACAAATTCATTGAAAAAATGGCTTACCGATGTTTTACAATAATTTATCAGTCAAAGTTGTAAGAAACGCGCAATCTTTAAAATTGTCATTAATTATCGTGTAATTAGCTAATCTTAATCTACATGACTAAACTATGTACTTATGTTGCAGATACTAGTAGCAATTCTAATGCACGAACTAAATTTAGGTTTACCTCTGTCGAACTGCGTTTTCGATTGTGAAAATAACTAAGAAATTTTTATATTAATTACTAGCGTTCCGCCAGCGGCTTCGCCCGCGTGGTCTTGTATAATACATGAAAACCTTCCTTTTGAATCACCCTATCTAAAAAAAAGTCAAAGAGGCTTAGAACGTAGTTCACTAAACATCAAACTAAAGGACAGGGTTCGCCATGGGAAAATAAGAAAGCTGACTGGTGTGATAGATGTGGTGGAGTGTGGATTCGCTCGTGGCCTGAAATGGAGATGGGCGGGCCACGTGGCACGCTACACTGATAAGAGATGGACAAAGACTGTGACTACGTGGAGTGGTCCCCATGGATATAGAAGCAGAGGACGACCAAAGGCGAGATGGAAGGACGAAATAGAATCTATCGGTACAAGAAATTGGCCAAATCTGGCAAAAAACCGCGTTGAGTGGCGATCTCTGGAGGAGGCCTTCACCCGTGGAGGGGTCTAGGTGGCATTAGACTAGAGGATACTAAACGATAACCTACTAACATGTACTGTACACATGCCAAATGGAATAATAAAGGCTTTTTTATTTTTATTTATTTATTATCTAAAAAAAAAACGCATCAAAATCCGTTGCGTGATTTTAAAGTTTTAAACATACATAAAATTTTTTTTTACACAAAGCGATTTTTTTATACTACATATGTAGTGATAAAGGAGTATACCTAATTATTTCTTCGATTACATTTTACTATAACTAAAGGAGGAGCTCGATGACGTAGCTACGTGACGTAGTCTGCTATACGGTTGTTATGCAACTTTCACAATGGCCTTTACTTCGGCAAGCTCGTTCAGCCGTTAATCCTAGCTGCATACTGTCGTTAAGACCCACTAAACCGTATTGGACTCGCGAGGTGGGTTATGGCCCATTCTGCTTATACGATTGATCCGATTCCATCCAAATACTGAGTCCCAACAATAGGTACATCAATATGCTGGTGATGAAGTAACGTTACGTATAACAAACCTAAAGTAGAGTAAGTAAGATATTTTTTTAATTTTATTTAGAAATTGGTCCAATCGAATCGGCACCATTTTTGTCAATTAATTCTGGTAGCCGGTGATGTAATTTTTTGTTAAATATACATGTCCAATGTCATATTTATTATCTACTAAAAACCAATGTTTATCAATGTTTAAATACCAATTACAAAATAATCCCGCTGTTATCTAGTAGCAGTAAAACCGAGATTTAGGTAACACAAACATTAAAGCTACAACTTTCAAACGTTTATTATAATAAAAAAGTTATTATTATATTAATAATAATATAATAAATATTAAACAACATCACATATATTGCTCAGATTCCAAGATGAGTAGCTAAAGCACCCATATTATGGAGTATCTGAGACAACCGAGGCACCACAACACCCACACCCGAGGCATTATAGGATTTTTGACATTGACTTGACCGGGTATCGAACTCGGGATCTCAGACGCCATCTCTGAAGCCCAAGTTCGATTCCTGGTGATAAATAAACACATTGAATTCGGCATGCGAACCCCTCGGCTACAGAGCTACGGATTTATTAAAGATTGCTATTGTAAAATTTCTTGCAAGCTTGTAAAATGTATTTTATTTTAGGTTCGTTAAACTGTCAACTTTTTTGTAATTTAAAAATTCATCTCATAGAATTGGTACAAACCTGACGGAAAATCCGTCAAACCTCTCACGGGAGTATGAAACGGAACTTACGTGGTATGTGCGAGGTCGGATGTCATCAATACTTATAATGTAAAGAAGAAAAATTCGACTGTTTGTTTGTGTGCATTGAATGGGCTTCGGTGCCCATGACATGACACGACAGAACCAGTTTTAAAAATTCTTTCTCTTACTAGAAACTGAATCATTTGCGGGTGACATATGCTTTGCGGACGAAGTCGCGGAAAACACCCAGTGTCTATATAATGTTACTTTCAACCCTTATAGTCTCTACTGCTAAAGAGATGGTTCTTTAATGATAACTATAAAACAAAGAGCTTTTTTTACATAAATGTACTCTCTACATGAATGGCCGCTCCCAACTTTCAGTGTATCTTTTGTCTCATTTAAACAGGAAAATTAAAATTGGACAGTATGGTTAAATTCTTTTGCATATTCCAATATGGACTCAACATGCTATTAGTCCTCTTATTAGTCTCGTAAATTGCTAATGCGCTGGAACCTATTCCAATAACACCCGCGTGACGTCATTTAAAAATAGAAAGTGTAAATAGCACAAAATGCAAGTGATAAAATATTTATTAATTATTGAAATATGTATAATTAACCCCTAAAATATAGTTAAAATAATTTAATAACTTTAGTTTGTGAATTTATTGCATATTTTTTGGAAATGGTAAAACTATATGTTAAAATTTCGGAGTATGGAATGTATATTATATGGAAAGTGAAAAAAATATGAAGAAATGTCGTTTGCTTTGTAATAACGCGAAAACAAACGGAAAGGATATTTATTTTAAACAAAGCAAAAAGCATGAAATGAGCGTCATTAGATATATTTATTTTTAGTAAAATTAGGTTACTCGTAGTGGAAATTATGATAGCTGCTGCTTTTTTAGTCAACCATCGCATGTAAAAACAAAACTTAACAATAACAATCGAAAACAACAAAAACATAACAAAAATTGTGTGTGATCTCAACACAACCCAACCCAATAAGAGTCCTCGTCAACCAGTGTTTATTTGTTGACGGTACTGATTTGATGACGTAATGAACGCAATTACGTCATCAAAATGGCGCCCAGGCGCATTAGCAACTTAAAATTTAAAGTTTATGACTTAAAACCAATGTCAACAAAAGAATATGAATTAAATATACCTTATCGCTGTTTAGTCAAGCATCTCAATTTGATCCCCTATTTTATTATAAAAAAGAAAATAATATAATAAACGCAAAAACAAACTTTCACACTTATAAAGTTTAAAAGTATGGAAGAAATATAGAAAAACAATATACAAAATAATCTGACATCTTTATTTTTGTATATATATATAATTTACTAATTCTTCTGTAACTTCAACAATGGTGCATTCTTGCTTTTACGCTTCTCCTTTTTCAATTGCCCCGACTCTAAGGCTTTCTTCATTACCTGTAACAATAACATTACTATTAATTAAAAATGGCCCCCAAATTACGGCGCGCAGATCTGTTTTATATTTAAAATGAGAGTGATTACATTGGGTTCGGTAAAAATCTGACGTAAAATACGCTAAGCTTTACAGGGAGGTATCCAAAACAGTGAGGGCATTAAGCTTTTATAATAATGTAGTGCTATTTACCCTGAAATGTGCGTGATACATCTTTAGTATCAAGAAAAATAGTCCTCAAATCTACGCTGTCATCTAGTACCAAGAAAAAAATAGCCCTCAAATGTGCATAGTACACCTCTAGTAATGGAAAAAAATCACCCTTAAATGTGCGTAGTACACACCTAGTACCTACCAGGAAAAAATCGGTCTCAAATTTGCGGGTACCTACAAATCTAGTACCAGGAAAAATTTGCCCTCAAATGGGCGTTTGATGTATAATTTTTTGACGAGAATTTAAATTAATTACGTTTAATTAATTAAATTAATATAAATTAAATTAATTATTGTTTTAAGGAAATTGTTCCTACGTTATTCTTGCTCTGTGAACGCATCTTATTCCCTAACACATCAAATATGCGTATTTTAGGAAATATGACCAACTTTCTAAATCAAGGCATGAAGAAAAAAATTGTGTAATAAAATTTTGTCACAATAACATTAATAACAACAAGTTGTATGAAGGCATAAAAGAAAAAATGTTTAATCGTCCCTAGTAAACTTATGCCTTGTTCTAGGTTAGTAAAAACCGGCGTGTCACTTTCATGAACCAAGTAATAAATAGCGGATAATTCCATGCCTGAACTTACATATAAGCAACTTTTTATCCCACCAAATAGTTCCCTAGGGACCGGCAGGCAAATTCGCTGGAGGCAAGCTAGTTAGTTTGTAAAAATCAACTTTATATTTACCTGCAGAGCGTTTTCCTCTGTATTAGTGACCAGAAGAGTATCATTCAAAGTGGGATACTTGAATGAAAACCCCTTGGGGAACATAGGCCGCGAGAGCAAAGACTCGACTTGTCTCTTCCTTATCTGTAATTCCTTGTCTATGGACGGATCTACTTGTTTCACTGGTCTGTTTACGAGTTATTTAATTATTGTTGGATATTATTATAATTTATTTCATAGATCGACTTAAATATTCCATATCGTTAGTAATACGAAAGATCTATTTTTCAGTGAATCGTACGATTGAAATAAAATAAAGAATTTCTTTTTCGATAAATTAAAATGTTATGAAATAAAGGAATCATATTTTTATTCATTAATTTAAGTTTTCCCGCAATACCAAACATTGACATACCTAGCTATGACGTCACATTTCAATAAACTTCTAAACGCCAACGTCTTCGTTGCGAGAGCAAGTATAGTATATTAAAGTGATTTTGCGCAAACAATATAAATAAACTAAAATTTCTAAACAAAAGATACTGCATACTTATTGTTTACATATCAATGAGCATACATCATAATCATCATCATCATTACCAGCCTTTTTACGTCCCCAGTGCAGGGTCTCAGGCCTTCCTTATGGATGGTTAAGGAGGATGGGCCATGACCCTCCACGCTGGCCCAATGCGGATTGGAGGGTATTAACGACTGCAAATGCAGCCGGGACTAACGGTTAATGTGCCTTCAGGCTTAACGTGCTTGAAGCACGGGATATTCTTTCACTCGAGATAATTATTTTTTGGTCACTTATCCACTACGCCACCGAGCTACTAGACCATAAGGCTGAACCGCTTTGGCTGAAAATTGGCGGGGACGTAGCTTAGAACCAGAAGACGGACATTGGATACTTTTTACCCGTATAAAAATAATAATTATAAAAGACAAAAAATTAGTGATAATAATAATGTGTCATAATAAAACGCAACTGACAGTTCACATAATGTTGTCTATGGTTTATTTTAATTAGTCGTTGACTGTAAGGCGGAACCAAGAAGTTTATATATTTCTTCATTCAATTTTCTTAGACGGAACAAAGTTCGCCGTTTAATAAAGCTCACTAGTTTAATATAAAGGATACAAGTCGTCGTCGTCTATGATCATGTCCATATCTTTGGCGGCCTTGTCTCTCCAGCCGCTCGCTTGTGTAGCGCGACGTTTCTTCAACAACAGACCGTCCACAGTACGAGCTAGTGATACCAGCTCTTTGAAAGACGATAAACACTGTGGTACGACGGGAAACGTTGGCAACTCGCTCGCTGTTTATAAAAAAAATACGTTTTTAGGGTTCCGTAGCCATTTTTAAAGTAGGGGAAATGCAACTTTAAGCCTTAAACCAGGGCTTTCCGATCCCACACCCGGCCTGAAAAGGACAGACATTCACCCTCCTAATCAAGAGGGGGGAGGATCCGGCAAAGAGCTCGCTGGGTCGGGCATTCACTCAAAAGAATATATAATTATTATGGTATGGTAATTATTATTATTTTGTTTATACAAAATTATATATTTTATTTTATTACTTACTCTTGTTCAGCGTCTGGCATAATTTGGCGTATAAATATGCCTCAGATGGCTCCATCATGAGGATAGTAAGTCCTTCCTTTGTAGCACGAGCTGTACGACCACTTCTATGAACGTAATTCTGGAATAAACAAAAATACGTGATGAAATAAAAGCATGGTATAGTTTTAGCGAAAATTTCACACAGTTAAAGTGCTGAATGCGACCGCTAACTCTGGGTTGTTGGTCTATGGTAGATAGTCAAACAAACAAACGGTTATAAAAGATAGCCGAATAAAAGTTTTCAACGTTCTTCGAAAAATGATTTCACGAGGATGGAATAAGCAATTTTTATAAAAGTGAAAAATTAATAAAGTCAAACCTCAACAGATTCTTTTTTCTTAACTAAAACTTAAACAGTTACTTCCTAAAACGTCCATTAAGGTTTAATGACGCTTTTAAGCTCTAATGAATGTCAAATTTGTATCGGTAATATCGCTTTAAAGTAACGAAATTTTAATGGACGTTTTACATGCAACTGGCTGATGGTCTGAAAAAAAAATAGGTAATAAAATACCTGATAATGAATCTGTTTTTTTTTAATAACCTACATCTCAAATGGATTTCAAAAGAGTTTAATATCCATATTATTTGAACATTTTCATATAAAGAAAGAAAGTCAGCCTCACCTCAGCCGTTTTGGGTACTTGGTAATGTATCACGTGATCGACATTAGGTATGTCTAGACCTCGCGCAGCTACATCCGTGGCCACCAGCACACCGTGCGGGTCATCACGGAACCTGGTACAAAATATATATCGTCATCGCCAGCCTATTCATGTTCATGCCTTCAGCAGACAATGGGTCATGACCCACCACGCGGGCCCACTGCGGATTGGTGGTTATTAACGACTGCAGATGCAGCCGGGATCAACAGCTTAACGTGCCTACCGAAGCACGGAAGAATTCGAGATAGTAAATTTTCGGTCACCCATCCTAAAAACAGCCATTGCGAAAGTTGCTTAACAAACATAACGCAGACCGTGCGCGCTAGCCACTGCGTCATCGAGCTCTTCAAAAAATATATACAAATAAACAAATTTGTCATTTTTTTGGATATACCCGCAGTTTGTTTTTTACATATTAGAAAACATAATTAACCTATGGAAAAACCGGCACACATGTATGAAAATAAGTAATGAAAGCGGAGGAGGCGAAAGATGTAACGTCTTGCGACACTCGGTCCTCTCTGACTACCCCGCAAGGAACACAGCATGAAGAGATAGATAGATAGAGCCTATCGATTTGAATAGGAAGAATGGGCCACAACCCACCACGCAAGTCTAGTGCGGATTGGTGGGCATTATTGACGACCGATACATTCAGGACCAACGGCTTAACGTGCGTCCTGAAGCATGGAGGAACTGCAGATATTAATTTTTAATCACCCATCCTATACATTTACGAATTTTGCTCTACCTCTGTGTCACAGATCGAACGCACTAACCATTTCGCTATCAAACTCCTCCGACCGTAACCGTAGAAAAAAATAATATACTAATTTAAAACTGAACCTTACCTTTCTAAGTTCTTCAGTCGTTGTCTCTGCGGCATACTCGCATGGAGAGGAAGAGGATTACATTTGAGTAATGACATTAACTGGGCCAACCTTTAACAAAAATAATGAAACTCATCCATCTTAATTATGAGCTTTAAACACATGGACATTAGATCCAACTTTTTTAATCTTTTCTTTTACATTAATAATAAAAACTATCCTATCTTTTAAGTTAGACCAAATTACATGTGAAATTTGATTTAAAATGGTTCAGTACTTTGGGAATTTGAAAATGACGTATATTGTACTACCAGATTTTTTAATATGATAGATATACAATAGTAAAGGGTGATGGAAGTCAATCTTACCTTCTGACGCTACCAATTGAGTTGCAAAACACGATAGTTCTTCCCGGATGCCTCTTAATTATGTAGTATAAATAAGCATCTTTATGTTCCAAAGAGCAAGTGATGCGACTCTCTGTCAAAGTCTCCGCTGTGCCTGCGTATAAGTATTTTGTATGTAAGTACCTAACACTGTCCATTAATAATCAGGATCATATCAATTATTTATGTATAGATTAAAAAGTGAGTGCCCTAAAATACCTCCTTGTAGTACACTACTTTTGTTTCATATTTATTAACTTCATTAGCCAGTTATTGACTTCGTGGATTATCAAGTATCATGGTATTCACCTAAGTTGCTTGTGGTTATGTCGACGACTTTAGGATCTGTCATGCCAATCATATTGATGAGACGTTTGATCTTCTGCTGTGATGTCATCTTTTCAATTCTCCTATTGATGATCTTGCCTCGTTTCGTGACCTGATCACATTTATATATTAACAATAAAATTTCCCTCATGATGCGACATTGGCAAAGGCCTGTCATAGAATGGATACAAGTAAATAAATGGCAACGTGTTTATAAATATATTATTTCTTTATCTTCAATGTCAATATGTTTAAAAAGGAAGAATAACCGTAAATATATATACAGTATAAAACACAATATTATTCATAAACAGAGAACAAATTCCTCTATATTATAAAAAAAAAAACAATTATAGTTACCTTTTTTCTCTTCATGTGTGTAGGCAAGTCGTGTACCATAGTTAGAGTGGCGGAGAAGACAAAGTTTTGTCGCGCGCCTCTAGTATTATCATCTGAGTTCAATCGTTCCAATAAAGGGTGTAACTCTTCAAAATGGCCACGCTCTATCATACGGTCCGTCTCATCTATGGCTAAGAATCTAGTGCCAAACAGAATGAATAGTGATTTATAGATATAATAATTATTTAAACAAGCAGTAGAGCCTCTAACATAAGATACAACATACATACTAAGATACTTTTCAATCTCTGTATCCCTTTCAACTCGAATTATTACGATTGACAAGAATTTGGGTACTATTTATCAATTTATAAGTACAAGTATATAATCTTAATAATGATGAAGAATGGCACTTTGAAAACTAATATAAACATAATCATTGGATTAACACATTAAAAGAAATTTATATTAATAAGAAATAATATAATCTGGTTTTCATCTACACTAATATTATAAAGGGATAAAGTTTTTTCGTTTGTTCATTTATAGTTTTCGGATCCTTAATTTACGTAAAGATACGTCATATGCGAGTGTTACAGGCTGTAAATTTACGCACTACCACGAAAATGACAATATTAAAAATAAAATATTCTTATAACTATGTGTGTAGTCTATCCCTCCGATCTCATCAATACCATGTCTTGATTGTCATCATCTTCAGACCTTTTACGTCCCCACTGCAGGGGCTCAGGCGTTCTTTATGAGTGGTTAAGGATGGATCATGACCGCAGGGTCACGCTGACATGGATTAGAGGGTATTAACGACTGGAAAGTACAGCCGGGACCAACGGCTTAATATGCCTTCCAAAGCACGAAGTAGCTCGAGATGATAATGATTTGGTGTCATCCCGTGACTGACCCTTGCGAGAGTTGCTAGCGGTCCGCAGCGCTTATCCACTCTACTCACGTCACCAAGCCGCTTACCATCTCTTGATATAAATGATAATCTATTATCTCAACTCACTTGACGCTGTTCAGTTGTTGCAAATGTGGCTGTCCCTGGTTTATAAGTTCCCATAATCGTCCAGGTGTCGCCACCACCACCTCTGGCCCAGAGCGGAGCACCCTCTCCTGTTTAACCACCGCCATGCCCCCCACAACTGTGGCTACCTTTATACCTAGTGAAAGAAAATATATGTCGTTGCCATATCGTAGAATTGATAATTTCATGATCTGGGCCAGCCATTTTATGAAATAGTTTTATTTCATGAAACGGCCGCCTAAAATTGATCATGAACCCAAGTATGTATCTTCACCGGCAATTGTTTGGTTCTTGCCGTCGATTTGCGACAATGGCATAGATAAAGTTTCTACTTTCTCAAGTGCGTGTAATAGCCTAGACTGGATAAATTGATTTTGATATAAATAAAAAAATAATAACATACCTGTGTATTTAGCGACTGCCATTAAATGTCTGCTTATTTGCATTGCTAGTTCTCTTGTTGGTGTTAAAATCAATGCATAAAGCAGTTTTCCAGTTTTGATTACAACATGCCCTGGTATTTCCACATTATCTATTACTTTAACACAACCCATACCTAGAAAATAATCAGTAACTGGTTTAGAAATTGTTCCAAGTAATTTTTTGCTTGTGTGGCGAAATCTAAGACAAAACAGAACTTCAATTTACACCGCATAGTCACGAGATAGCGGCGCGATACCTGGATCATGCTTGTTAAGTTTCGCCGCAACTTCATACATATACAACTTCCAACCAATAACAGTTGGACCGCGGTCTCTGAGCTATAATCTCCCTAACCAGTCGTCATCCATCCACGCTATTGGCGCCCCAGGCCTTCTAAACAGATGGAATCGAATTGAATAGGATTAGGAAGAATCATGATCCACAACGCAGACTCAGTGTGGATTAGTTGGTGCGGTAGACTGCAAAAGCAACAAGGACCAACAGCGCTTAACGTGCCTTCCGAAGCACGGATGCGCTCAAGATGACCACCACTACGCCGTTGACCTCCTCGTTCTCTGTCTACACCTACCTTGTTCGTTTTCATTTATTTCTTCTGTATTATCTTCATTTGATTCATCATCAATCTCGTCATCGTCACTTGATGAAGCATTTTCAAGTTGATCTGTCTTCTCATCTTCATCAGTATCCCCTGATTCAATACAATTTGCAGTTACATTGTCATCATCGCTTGTTTCATCTAAATCATCAGAATCTATCATTTCCGATAAATGTGTGTAGTTTTCACTATCATCACTGTCATCATCTTCATCAACTGATAATTTTCTAGTTTTTATAGGCACATTAAATTCTTCTAAATAATCATCATCATTATTTACTTTTTTACCAGGTTTGTGTTTATCTTTAATTGATTGAATATTTTTACTTTTATTATTAACTAATTGAGTTTCTATATTCGTTATTCTATTATTGTCATATTTCTTACTATCATCAGACCCTTCATCTGTTCCATAGCCATCTTCTGATGATTCTTTTAGTTTTTGTTCATTCCTTTTCTTATCTCTATTAGTTCTTGCATTATTTTTATTCCTTTCTTGTTGTTTTACTTTCTTTTTTACAGAAGTTTTTTTATAAGGCAGTTCATATACATCATGGCCTAATTCAGCCTTTTCTTTCAGTTTCATAATACCTGTTTTTGGTTGATAGGTAGAAAATTAGTTACATCCATTATGTAATATAAATTATCAGATTAGCCAAAAAGTAATGAAAAACTTATTTATTTAAACAATATTAATCTTCTTTCTCAAATCACAAGGATAATCATTCTAAAATTTAAAAAAAAAAAAATTCATTACTTATTTGCCAAGCCAATAATAAAATAAAAATGGTCAAGTTGTTTGTCCAATATAAACTGTAATTTGTCAGATTGAACTTGGTAACTGTCATACTTTTATGGAATGTGATGTGATGTGGGTATAACTTGCACTATCCTGGCAGCCCTACATATTTGAATCCTGTCCAGTCAGAATACACCAACAAAATGTAAAATTTCACAATAATTACTAACTATTAACTCTATGGGATGTAACAATTAACAAACCTGAATTTGTAACTGTAGTCAAACTTGGAACTCAAAAGTAATTTTCAATGTGTGTCTATCACATTTTCATGCCTAAACTACTGAACCAATTATAATGAAATCTAATAACAGGATGGGAGGTTTTATCATTAAATTTAATCAACACAATCAAAGCCACGGGCAGAAGTCTTGTATTTCTATATATTCATTTGGAAAAAGTACACCAATATTATATCACTCATTTAAAAAATTACCTGATAGTATTGGAAGACCAAAAGCTAATGTTTTGCCACTACCTGTTTCGGCTGCACCTAAAATGTCTCTACGACCTGAAAAAAGGTTTTAAATATTTTTATCTTTTATTTACTTTTTTTCAGATAGGTAGATAATTAGTTATAAAATTACAAGTTCAGTAAGTATGTTGATATCAAATATATTTTATATCTTATGATTTATTTAACATGTATATCAAATGATAGATAGCCTTGGTTAGGGGCTTAAAGTTAATTACTACTTTTAAGTAGACAATGTCTGTAGCCCAGTGGATTGCACGCCAATTTAAAGTGTCACCACCTCTTAGATCCCAGGTTCCATTTAGAGTGAGGTCAATGTAAAAAAATGAAATTTTATACATTATAGTACCTTTTCTATGATGTAGTAAATTTTCTACATTGTGGCATCCAGTACAACTGGGTGTGATGGTGCCTTTGATTTCTCAGAAACTCCATAGTATGAAAGCTTTAGCTACTTACCTTGGAATCAGAGCAATGTATGTCATATTGGCTAATATTTATTATAAATCATATACATTTCCATTTAATAAAACCACAATCACTGCTAAACACAGCGCCAGCTCAATGAATCTTCTTATCCAAGACAAAACATTAACTAATGCAGAATGTCTTTTATCTATTTCTTATTGCCCTCCCCAAATGCAAATGCTCTAGACATTTGCCTAGTTTGATTATATGCACAAGCCTGCACTAACTAAAATTAGTATATATCTTACCATGAATAGCGGCTGGTAAGGTCAACTCTTGAATTTTAGTAGGCTTTTTGAAACCAAGTTCTGTCAATGCTTTCATTATTGGTTCTTGCAATTTGAATTCAGCCCAAGTGAGCATATCTTCTGGAGTTAAATCTGATATTGTTTCATTCATGCATTCTCCTAATTTTGGTTTCTTGTTTATGTTACATTTTCTCTGTTTATCTATGGCTTTTTTTGGAGCTTCTTTTTTCTTAATACTATTATTGAATTTTGTATTTCCTTTTTTACTTTTCATATCTTTTTCATTGGCAAATGATGGAGTGGTTATTTCACAAGATTCAACTAAGAAGCCATTGCTTAGTCTAACTGTTTCTTTTTCAGTTTTTAATTTTTTACTGGGAATTTCCACTGTGGTATCTTCTGTTTGTCGCTTTTTCTTCATTTTTTTCTGTTTCTATAGATAATATTTGAAGAGTTAATGATATGTATAAATTATTGATTTGATAATTTTTGGTAAAGCATTATATAAACATTTGGTATAACTTACAACATTCCATTGTATTTTGTTATGAAAAAGGTATAAGTAATGAAAACTGTTTTTAAAGAAAAATTGAATAAAATTCAAAATCAATTGATTAATTATTTTTCATTTTGCAGTTAGAAACATAATTATGTTAAATGTAAACTCTTTAAAATATATTATGATTAGAATTTTAATTAAATTAATAGAATATAGTTAGAATCCCCATGCCGTATCCATGGCAGGATAATTTAATCTCAATATCTCGGATACACAAACTTATGTTAATAAATGTACCTTTTTAATTTTTTTCGTCTCCTTATCCAAGGCATAGTCTGTACACTCTTCGAGTCCGACAAACCCTTGAAATTTGTCGGAAAAAGATACCGGAAACCCCTCGACCGCTACAGTATCCCATTTTAAATCTTTAAGTTTTTTACTCATTACAATAATTGCAGCACAAAGCTAAATAAAACAAGGCAATGCAACGAGATTATAAACACTACGTTTTAAAAAACTCGTAACCTCAAAATATATTAAGCTCTATGACAGACATCAAAGCAAAGCAGCATGTTTTTGACATTGACATATATAATCTTGTAAAGAGTAAACTTCGTAAACGACATACTGTAAACTATGGACTTACTTACTTAATAGATTAGAAAATGTATAAGTACATAAACGAACCTTATCACTATCAGTTAAAATAAACTTTTAATTTCTCTTTGTACAGAAGCTAATCCGAGCCTAGGAAGATAGTCACAACTTTTCTTTCTTAACGATTAACATTGCTAAGTATACGCGAAAGCGATAAGAATTTCACGCGCTAACACGATTCACGCGTGAAATTCCAAAAGGATTCAACGACTAAACGAACGAATGAAACTAGACCGCGGCGGGCCGCGCAGTTACCGCGTGAGCGTGATCGTTATTTTATGCTTATTTCAAAAAGCAGTGTTATTTTAACGAAACAATACAATAAGGACTTGCATAATGATATTAATAATCCAAATATCTCGCTAATTCTTTGTTTAAATGATTTATTTATTTATTAAGTAACACAACAGATATTAATCAAAATATATATGAATAATAAGTAACAACTGTCTAGTACTAAATTAATATCCTAAAGGTGTTTACACAATGAGATATGAAAAAAACTATTACGATTATTAAATAAAGGTTAGTTGTAACGGAAAGGTCTTATAATAATTTTTCTTTTCTTATTTAATCAATGAATTATTTATATCTTGTAATTTTAGTAATGATTTGGTCTCAAAATAGATAACTACTTTTAATATTTGTATTATGGTTTATTTTTTCTTTTGTAATTATTAGTAAACAGTCTAATTATCAATTTAGTTAACTAAGGACCCAACGAGGGTTCAGTATTTTTACCTAATCATTTGAAGCCAGAATTATTTTCCTGCGAGATGAGTTCTTCCAACTCAGATGACTTTCCTCTGAGCATCTACGGCTCGCTCCTATTTCAACACGATGGAGCACCAGCGCATTACGCACGTGAGGTACGTGAGTACCTTAATAATCGGTTTGGAAGGTGGATAAGTCGCGGCGGCCTGGTGTCATGGCCCATGCGATATCCAGACATGACCCCACTTGACGAATGAAGATATATTTTTCCCGCGATGGCCGGCATTTCGAAACCCTGGACTGATAAATTGAAGGTGAAGTGTAAGTAATGTTGGCAAGTGAGTGCTGAAAGAGTGATTTGAATGCTGCGTCTGGGTATGTACCTGTTATTTTAATTCGTCATAAAATATCTGGAAACTGTGTTAGTACCTATCGAATTGGTACTTAACTATTTTCGTATGTTTATTTTGTTGCAAATAAATTTCATACGCAGTCGAGTGCGCGTGTCGGCGATATCAAAGTGTATTCTAGGAAACGAGAGAGAGAGTGAGAGGTAATGAAAGAGAAAGAGAGAGCGATTACGCCGGGACGGCACATATAAGCTTTTAGGGTTGTAGCATATGAATTGAAAAAATATTGTTTTAATATTAGTATTAAAAACTAAACTAACACGAAGTTGTTTTTTGACATAATAATTGTGTTCTTTGTGTTAGGTTGTATGGCCACGTTTCGGGATTATACATGTTTTTTCAAACGTCTTGTATAGATGATAAGCGGTTGTTTGAAACAATTATATTGTAAGATAATAATTTAATTTAAATATATGATAGCAAATGTACATAGTTGATTCTTGTATATAAAATCAATATACTTTTAAATACGCCTATAATTGAATTATAGACATTCCTAAGCCTGAAAAGTATGAGGTTCATCGATTTTATTTTAATTTAGTAAGTACTGCTATAATTTATTTTGAACTATTTAGACTACGTAATAATGAGTTATAGTTTAATAGAGCACATAATCTATTTAACGTAAAACATAAAATAATTAACGTGTTACAAGGCTTAGCGTGCTACAAAATTTAACGTGTCTTTACGCACCCTTACGCTTTTATGAATTAACGCGTTAATAAATTAGAGCCTTCATTAACACTTTAAAAAAATATATTTGTCTATAGCGCGTTAATGATTTTTAGTCGTTTTGAACACTTCTGGTCACAACGGAGGCCGTGTGACTCGTTCTTTTTTCTTGCCATTATAAAATTTAATGTCCAATAATAACTAAAAGAGCAACACCAGAGTTGTCACGACGTTTCAATTCAATTCTAAGTACATATCGAGATGATAACACAACCCTCTCCGGGAAAAAAATAATCATGATCATAAAGATGTTATATATATATATGTATCTGCTTTGTTAATTTATTGCTTTACGTCGAATCATTATACTTAACTTCAACAACGACAAAACATGTTATGAAACTTCGCTTATGCGATGAAATCCAAAAAATCCCATCCCATCACATTGCAGATTATAACGCAATCCACGATAGCAATGAAATGAGATAATATAGGAATCACGTTTGGAACAGTGTCCAAGGAGTCATCAATTGTTCTACCCGCCCTCCCTGAGGGCGAGCGTCCAAGAAGTCATCAAACATCAAGCCCACTCTCCCAGAGAGCGAGCATCCAACCAGCCATCAAGCTGGTCACTGGCCGCATGTCTTTAGCCGTCTGACTTCCCTGAAGTCGCAGCTTATATCATAACAAAACTATAATCATGTGAACTATATCAACTCGTCAACCCGTCTACTAGCCGCGGTTCCACGGCCAGTCTTACTTCCTAGAAGTATCGGAATTGCCTTATAAACTCATCGTTCACTTATAACAAAACTCTAATAGGGATCACACTTACCAGACCGCAGTTTTCTATTGTACTTGTTGACTCCAAAGCATCGCAGAAAAAATGGCGCGGTAAGATTTTAACAACTTATACGACAGTGGCTCTCTAATCAAACTATTATCATGGTAATGTAAACCAAGACAATCATATAAGATTCTAATTGGTCAGTTTTACTTAGGTGATTCAGAACTCACGGTGATGTGGTGCATTCAAATCTTTTACCCATATTAGTTACCATTAGCAAAAAACGAAACATTATGTTGCCTACTTAGTTCAACCAAATTATCCTATTAGTACTAATGTTGCTATGTCCCTAGTTTGATATTATACTCGTGCCTCGTCCTCGAGATTAGTATTTTCCTAATTATATTACAATGTAGTATCGCTTAGTGATACCACTTCATGCACTATATTTAAAAAAAAAACCAAATCATTTGAGGGTAGTCGAGCCCACTACTGTGCCAGCCCGGTTTCTCTTCCTCATTCGCAATTTAGTGCTCGACCACTTCGCACTTTCAAAATGTCTAATAGACATGGCGATAATATAGTGAACGTTTTGTCAAAAAAGTTAAAGAAATTAAGTATATCAGACGCGCGCCACGGCGACGCGTTCCGTTAAGTGAAACATCATCATCGAGTTCATCGCGGAGCTCTAGTGTATCGAATGCATCGGCAAGGGACTCCACGCCGACTCCGGATAAACTACAAGGTTAGTAAGTGATAAAATATCAGTGTCGTACGTAATACATTTTTGAAAAATCAATATTACATTATTATGGGTACCTACAAGTTACGCAATCAGAATAGTCTGCGGGACTACTTCGCTGCGTTTAACTTGAGGATCTGTCTGCGCCTTAGGCTCCTTAGATTCATAACACATATTATGCAAGCAGAGCAATCTGAGGGATTGTCTCAACGCATAAAAATTCGTTAATACTCAGAATAGTCTGTGGGGCTATATCGTCATTAACGAATCGGTATGTTCTCGCTTACAGACCGAGATGCTTTGGAGCCCACGTCGAATACGACACCAACACAAGATACCTACGACGTAACCGCCGCCCAGACGGCGCCTGCGTCCGCGTCCGCTACCATCGACGCAGCCACAGAGTCACCGCACGCGCAGTCAACGACGCAGGCTACGGAACGCGGGGACGAAGAGCTGGATTCCGATATTTTAGATATTCTCGGAACAGATCCGGCCGCTATACAAAAATACGGACCCGATATTAATAAAGATCTAGCTCATCGTCTATGTCATATAGCGACCACAGGTTTAGATAAGGAGACCAGAAAGACTCTTATGGAAAAATATCTCGTTCCGGCAAACTGCTCAAAAGTAGGCGCTCCTCAACTCAACGCGGAGATTAAAGCCGCGGTTTCCGATACCGTCCTAAAGAGAGACAAAGCCATGGAGGTTCGGCAGAACGAAATAGCCACCGCTATTTCATGCCTGAGTCAAACTATATCGACTCTTCTTAAGGACAAAGACAAATATCACGAGTTATTAAAACAGCTCATATTTTGTGCGACATACAATACAGTGAATCCGTATCGAGAAAAAATTTCGCGCTTTATTCATTAAAAAAAGACATGAAAGAACAGTTGTCTAGCGCCAAGATAGACAACTTTCTATTCGGTGAAGACCTAGCTGGGACTCTTCGAACCGCGAAAGCAGTTACAAAATCCAGCTGCGACCTAAAAATTGATGCACCCAAGAAGAAACCTGTCAATCCGAACATGTCTAGACATTTAAACTGCGGTGGCAGGGGGCGGCGCCGGGCCCCTCTCGCCGCCCCCTGCCGCCGCCGCCGCCGCCGTCGGCCGACAGCAGCAGACAGCGGCCTGTCAGCTCGTCGCGAGGGAAACAAGCAGGGACGCAGACGCTGACTACGCCAGTGAGACCCGCGTCCTCCGCTGAATCACCAACGGTACGATATGCTGGTAGACTTAGCACTTATTTTGATAAATGGTCGCTAATTACTCGTGATCGAGCCTTGTTATCGTGGATAAAAGGCTACAACATATGTTTTACAAACCCGGTTCATCAGTTAGACACATCTATCACGGAGATCTGTACTGACTCCGAAAGAAGAGATTATAGCAATGCTATTAATAAATTGCTATTGATAGGTGCCATTTCTAAGTGTAATCCTACTGCTGGACAATTTTTGTCGCGAGTTTTTTTGATACCAAAGTCGAATGGTGAAACGAGATTCATTTAAAATTTAAAAACTCTTAATGAATTCATAGACACTCAACATTTCAAGTTAGAAGACATACGTACAGTT